ATAAAGACTTGACAAAAAGCTTTTGTGTATCCTTTATTGAATATAATGAATCAGAAATTTTTCAAAAGTATTTTTGTGAACTAAAACCTAATTTTCGGAAAAATAATCACCTTTTGTTAAACATTATCACAAGTTTAAACTTCTTAATAACCTCACATCCGAAAATGCATACGCAGATCCATTGTAACATATAACAAGATAGTTTCTTCCAAATATAATTCATTTTAAACTACAAATGAGACGCATGCAGCATTTTCAAGACATACGAACTGCGAAAAATTTTGTTTTGAGAAAACAGAGTTTAAAGTTTTTCTTCAAACTTACCACCTTTAATATATGGTGATGAGAGACAGCAAATTAACTTTAACTATGAATATGTAGACACTAGATAACATTTTCGTATCATTTAAATATTTTTAATCTCATAATATTAATATGAGAAAAATAAACACATCGCAAATTGGTGGGTGATTCGCAGTTAGAGGTAAAAACAATTTATGCCTTATATCCAATGAAACTTTTAAAATTCACTCGCATCATATGTTTTACCTTCATTTGTTACATTTACATTATCTTTTAATACTTAACAATATTTTTTACTATTTCTGGTTTTTCCTAGCAGGTAGGTAAACTTCTCTTTTTGCTTTGGTTCAAGCGATGTTGTTCGCCATTTTTTGGAACGAGTAGGGGAAAAACGAGATTATTTCTTCCTGTTCTAGGCGTATAGCATTCACACAACCAAAGTTAAATTCATTGATAGTTGTCAACACTTGACATTTCTAGCTTTTGGTTTAGAAATAAACACTTCTTTTGGGCAAATATATAAATTATTACATTGGTAAATAACTGTTGAAATACCTTTTTACATTTTTCTCCAAAATTTAAAATGCAAAGTTTACGATTTTTACACATCTTAAGTGCTTGTAACTTCTTTAAAAATTAGAATATTTGAACTCGGCTTTTTGCATACGATGTATTTACGTGTATGGAATCTGATGAGAGTAAAAAATACAAATTCAATATTTTGGTGGATTTTTAGCTATTTTAAAGTCCACCGTCCCCTTAATTGAGCCAAGATGGAAAACTCAAAAGCAGTTTTTTCGCAGGTAACGTTTCTCGTTTCCCGTCTTCTTCAGACAGCAGCACATTTTTTAAGGTGTAGAAAATGGCTTAATTAATAATTTTTTACTAATCGTGTTTTGAAACACAGCGAAATGTTTTTTTTCCCTCAATCTGTGAAAATTTTATGTCTGTGTTTACATGCTAAAATCATGAACGCCAAATACAATCACGATAAAAATTCGATCAGTTTTCAAACATTCAGAAATTAAGATACAGGTTTCATAAATGTTTCATTAAAAATATTTTCCCCTTTCTATTGATGATGCAAACAATGAAATTTGGTATGCTTAGTTTGTTCCTCACGCAAAGATAGATGCAAAAAACCGCTTAAACATTAAATAAGAAAGACTGTAAGTCAAATTTTGAAGAAAGCTCTTTTACCACATTTTTTTTTGTCATCGACAAAAAGTATGTGTACGAAATCTGAACTCTATAGCCTATCAAGAAGTTAAGTTAAAAATCGATGCAAAATTTCACTCGCATTGAAAATCAGGAAAGAACTAAATGTAAATCTATAATAATGTAATATTGTGTTCCGAATCATTAAAATCTTTCTTCGAATACTTGTCATAATGTAACTAAATAATTTACCATAAAAAATGTATCCTCTGGCAGGGTAAAATTGATTTGGAGTCTGCATGAGGTTCTGCCAGTTTGAAACAACTGTACTACGATAACAAAGGTGAAAATAATGGCGTGATACTTTGTTGAGATGAAAGGTGGCCCGGAATGCCTTCGATTTATCGTCAGTGACAGTGTCAAAATGTGGGTATGAGATAACAAATCGATTTTCTTACCGAAGAAAATAAAAGCATCAACTCGTATTGATGAAACATTTTGAGTCCAAGCACAGCCGTGGCATAGAAGAAAACGGGATATAGCTCGAATTTAAAAAGCGTGGAAAATAAAAAATGGGAATCTGACCCTTTCGATACACGTGAATAAACAGAAATGGATTAAAAACGCAATTTTCGGATAAACCGTTGTCTTCTTTTTGGTTGATGTATGGTGTATCAAAATATGGATTCATAAAGCAATTTTTTTTTCTTGTAATGGTATATTAAAGTATTTTAGGTATTGAGATTATTTCAGGACAAATTTATTTAGCTTATTAGATAAAATTAATTTGATTTTTTAATTGTCCTTCTTTGGGGGAGTGAAATATGTTTACCACCGCTCATTGTGTGCTATTAAAATGCAGGAAATTTTAAGCTTTTTGTTTGTTTTTGAGTTTCACAACATGGAACTTATATATTTTGTAAATACTATAGTCTGCAAAAGAAACTGTGCGTTAGGATGTTTTATATTCATAGACGACGCACTATTAGCACCTTAACTAATGCTGAGTTGTAGATCAGCGTTTCTGCTTCCTTTCCTAAAATGAAAATTTTTCATAGGTTACATCATCTGAATCTTTGTTTTCACTTGAACGGGCAAGTGATAATAATAGTTTAAATATAAAATTGAATACTAATAATTAAGAATACATAGATAAAATACATTGTTCTTAAAATACACATAAATACCAGAAGTGACCTTAAAATTCCTCACACAGGGCCCTTAAAAATACTTAAATCCAAACAAAATATCTCTGTGATAGACAAAAGGTTCCTATGACAAACAAAGGTTCATGCACAAATGGAAACGCATGGTCCTCAATACACAAAGGAATAGATATGATCCGTACACAAATGAGAAAACAGGACCCTTAAGATACCTAAATACAGGTATTGACCTTTAAATTTCTCAAATGCTTTAAAACATACATAAAAAGGCACGATTTTTAATACACAAGAGGGCCCATTATAATTGAAAGGAAAGCGCCCTTAAAAGATACCTAAATAGAGAGTGACGTTAAAATTCCTCAAAAGACCATACATAATATATGAATGAAAAGACCTTAATTAATACCTTAATGGAAAGCATAAATAAACCTTAATACATAAATAAAAAGACGGGGACTGTTGAGGGGACTCATACACCTTAAAACCCATAAGATGTTCGAATAGGTGACTGTTGCAAGAATTGGGATAACTTATTTATTTTAAAAGCAATTACTACCAACCTTTTACAGCTGAGTACATAACATAGCTGCTTTCTGAAATAGTCATCAGAAAGTTTGTGTTGCCACAAATATTTTTATAATTTAATCCGCTTTGTGACAACATTTTTCGTCATTTTCCCAACTTGCGCGCACAGTTTAAAACATTCTGTTTCATAATTTAATTCCATATTTAATATATCGCTTTTATAACATTTGGAAATTACTGTGAACCTAAAATTCTAAAAATTTCATGTTCAATTTTTATTCTATTTTGAGTTGAGTTGAGTTTATAAAATGTATTTTATTAAGAAAATTTGTAATGTTTTCTTCCATAAAAGTTTTCAATATTAAAATATTTATCAGATTGTTGGTTCAGTTCGAAAATCGTGACAACATATAAAGAATTCCATCCAATTTCAAGTATGTACCATTAGCCATTTTTAAAATATCATGCGCGCAAGGTGGAAACATGGCGAAATATTTTGTCACAAAGAGGATTAAATTACAAAAATATTTGTGGCAACACAAACTTTCTGGTTACTAGTTTCTAAAGCAGCTATATTATGTAGTCAGCTGTAAAAGGTTGGAAGTAATTGCTTTTAAAATAAATAAAATATCCCAATTCTTGCAACAGTCACATATTCGAAGATCATGAGGGATTTAAGGTGTATGAGTCCCCTTAAAAGGACGGTTTCCCTGAGTCATACAGCCGTATACTCTAAGAATGTCTCGCAACATGCGCGACGAATAGATACCATTTTTATTAACGGATCTCCATCATGCTCCGAAGTAAGAAACTCATCATTCTCCTTTGCAGCGGTAAAATCTGTAAAAAAGGTTGAGTCAAACAGCGATTTGTTACCCGAAAAAGGTTTGCTTGTATTCTGATTTTACCCATTAAACTTAAATTCTTTTAGCTTGTTCATTCATGATAGCTTTCATTCTAGCATTGACTTCAATATTCAAAAACATAAATAGTTCAATGTTAATAATTTCAATGCTCAAAGATATTCAATGTTTAATAATTTCAATGCTCAAAGCCGTGAAATATCAACATTTGAATAAAGTTTCTTTTCATGATGACTAAGTTTCTTTTCATGACTCATTTCGTTTCATAAATAAAGTTTCTTTTCATGACTTTTCATGATGACGTTAGGCCTGTTTCAAGAGACTCTTGTAGTTTCTCAATATGCAAGGCAAAGTTTCCACAGAATGTCCTCCAAACACTCACGCGTCCTTTTAGTATACTTGGACCGAATTTCAGTAAAAATGTCACCCAAAACACTGAAAATTTGGTAGTGCTTTAATCATATATTTTTTAATTTAATATAAGACATTTAATATATTTTTAAATATATTAAATGATTGCTTTTAAATAACCACTGCTGACTTTTAAATAACAGAGATAATAACTTTTAAATAATATAAAACATTTCGACGTTCTGAGGCTACTCGTTTTTGAGTTATGCGAGGTACGTACGTACGTACGTACAGACGCCACGAAAAATTCTTCTCATTTTAAAAGAGTTTTTATAATTTTTTTGGACGAAAGTCTTTCATTCTGCCGTTACGCACGGATGTCACGCAAAACATCGTTAAATTGCATTCGATAGCGGTCAAAATGGATATTTTCGTTGAAATATGCTGCCTGATTTTTCGCGATTATAATACTTCCTTTTTACTTCGTAGAAGGAAGTAAAAAAAGTATTTTTTTGTCATTCTATATCCTTAAAAGGCCAATATATAATTGAAATTAGGAAATTAGAAATATAACAGTTAGTTCAATTTTCTTTATGTAAATATAGGTGTTATTAAAATTTTATTTATATTTTAGGTATCCAGTATAGTGGGTAGAGCGGATGTTCTCTGTTGCGTTTTGTATTTGTCTTCTTTGATCGCTTGTTCCAGGTAAGATTATTTTATTATTCAGTAAATAAATACAGCAATTTTAGAATACTGAATTGTACATCCTGTATATTTGTATTGCGTATTTGAAGCGTTCTTGGGGAGTTCTTGAATGCGTTATTGCAGATTAACTGTTTGTACACCATATACAGTGGTTTACACGAAAATTATCGTTAAAAAGACTGTTAAAAGAAGGTTTTAGTTACTGCGGCATCACAAGGCGATTTTGCATTTCCCTACTATTAGGTGGACCAATCTTCAGATAAATTATTTTGCATAATGAACCGACACGCGGTTTCCTTCTCGTTCCGCCAAGCGGTAAAGTCGCTGAACAGTGGTAGTTCGGTCCGAGGTTCGAATCCCGCGAACGGGCTGGCTGCATGGATGTTTTCGTGGTTTTCCCCATGTGTAACGTGTATACGATCCAGTTTCCCTTAGAAAGTCCTCCTCCACGAAAGCATCCCTCCCCTTAGGCAGATAGCCCTCGAGGCTTTGCCGTAATTAAAAAACCTAACCTTCTCGTTCCTTTACTGACATAACGTTCGCCTGCCTATTTACGATTCTAAACCCAAACTTTTTCTTGTTTACTGTCATTCCGTTGCCAAGCATCGCCATCTACTTCATCAATTTTCAACAGATGGCAAATTCATAATCGTACGACACATCATCGTATGACGTCAAAAATCGCAAATTTTGAAATTATCTCGCTCAATTTTTGTGAAATGGGAGTCAAATGTTTTGTTTTAAATTTTTCGTAATAACTAAAACATTTTCCTAAAATTTGAGTACTAAATACCCGCACGCAGAACATGAAAAGTTACATTTTGTCATTTTTTATAGAAATGGCATTTTTAAATTTACAAATATTTACGTGTTGGCATTGGGCAACGCGTAAATATCTGCGTCGTTTAAAACATTGTTGTAATTAGAAGTATATTCTGATAACCAGACGTTGCTAAAATAACCGAATTCAGAAAGTACTAAATTAAATTAGGAAATACTTTTGTTTGGAATACGATTCGAATTCGACCAATCTCGAATGCGAGCTCTACCTTTGTTTAGTTGCTATTTTTTTTTTTTTTTTTTTTTTTTTTTTTTTTTTTTTTTTTTTAAATTCTAAACATAGGGCGTCCTCGAAACACTCCCTATGGCAGCCTCTTTTGCGAGCACATCCGCTCTCTCATTACAGCATATTCCGATATGGGCTTGAACCCACCCAAACTTAATATTAAAGGATAAGGATAGTTTGGGGTAAAGATCTTTAATATCGATAATCAGACCATTATTATTTTCTGCATTATAAAGTGCATTTAAACAAGACATGCAATCTGTAGAAATATAAAAGTTAGAATTTCTTTCAAAATTACTTTTCAATATCCATTTAAGGGCATAGAGGAGAGTGTTAGATGTTGCAATATAGATTTTTTTTAAAAAAATGGCAATAACATTGTTTGACAACATACTTTTCTTTGCGTTGTTATGCATTTTTTATATTCGCTATTCGCTTTATTATTTTTTAAATATAATGCATGGCAATAACGTTGGGTGCGCAACAGCTTTTATTTTTGTTGTCATACATATGTTTTATATTTGCTGTATAAGATCTTAAGAAAAAATCTGATGTGTACACCACATAACTTCCTTGTACGGAATATTAAATTATACGCATTTTTTCTTGCATTTCATTTAAATTGATTGGATTGAATTAAATCTACTTCACCGACAGCGCATAAACCACAGTAGAATAAATGCACTCTTTAAAATTCACTCTAGTATTTGTTTACCATAGCGATACTCTGGCGCTAGATTCACTTAACAGTATTATATTTCGTTCGTATTATAACTCATAATGCACAAAATTTATATCATTTAAAGAATAGAATTATCTAATCGTTGCACATGTTCTATTCAAGTACTATAATAAATAATAAAGCTAGAATGATGTAGTATAAAAGAAATTAAGCAAATAAAACAACAAAGAAACAGTTTTTCACAGACGATTGAGTATTTCTCATTCAATTAATTCAGTTCTCACATCGCGAGAATGCAAAAATACATAAAAACTCAAAATATCTATATTAAAAATTACGAAGTATATCTCAAACACTTATTTCCTCGAAAAAATTCCAGACAGGATTAAGCATGATTTAATTGGCAATAATAAATGAAGGCGTTATCTTTGTTATTGCGAAGCTAAGTTTCTCTAGATTGGCAACAAATCCACTAGTCTCCTGTTTTAAATGTAAACAAGCAATGGCCGCCATTAAAAAACGGCTTAGCGGCACTTAAACAACTTTTAAATTGTTGATAATTCTAAACATATTGCATACAGATTTACTAAAGGCATAAAAACCTTAACCGGAAGATAAAAACAACATAATTCAATCATTTTTAAAGCAAAAAATGTACAATTTACAAACATAAAGAGTAAAGAAACTGAGATCACTGAGCCGAGTAACAGAATGGATATATATAAATATATTTATATACGTTTGGTGCGGCCGATTGCAACCAAAATACGTACGTACGTACGTACGTACGTACAGACGCCACGAAAAATTCTCTTCAGAATTCATTTTAAAGCAGTTTTATAATTTTTTGGGAGGGAAAGAGTCTTTTATTCTGTCCTTACGTACAGATATCACGCAAAAACTTCGTTAAATTGCATTCGATAGCGGTCAAAATGGATATCTTTGTTGAAATATGCTGCCTGAAACTTTTCGCAATTACAACACTTCCTTTTTACTTCGTACAAAGAAAGGAAAAATACGTGACGATAACATTGGATGGCTTTAATTTGTGCTGGCATACATTTTTTATCTGTTTGTAACGAACGTTTTCCGCCAGAAAACCTTTTTAATAACGTTAGAACAAAAACGATCGCAGTACCTTTTAGTGCGGGTAGTACTCACCACCCAAAGCTATGATTTTCTGCCAACGTTTTGGTAGCTTTTCAAAGCCTTCGGTTAGAAGCTTTGTGGCCGCGAGTCCAAAAACAGATCAACCTCATTTTGGACGTCCTGTGCGTAATAGAAGATATCACCAGCATGATGTAGCGCCAAGTGTGAAAACAATTAGAATTCCGAAGGAGCGATGTCGGGGCTATAGGGTGGATGTGGCAAAAGATCCCATTCGAGTCCGTACGGAGTCCAACCTGTAAATGCAGACACACGTGCTCTTGCATTTTCTAATGTAAAATTACCTTTCTGCGCCGGAACGCAGTTCGACGCTTTTACTCGATAGCAGCATCAACGCGAACTACTACAACAATTCTACCAGATACAAAGCATGGACTTTGTGTTCGTCAAACTGCGCTTTGTGATGCTGCCGACATGCACATCGGGTGCAAATCAACCCCGTTTTTGGCTTGTGTTGTTGAAGGAAATCCACTTTTCGTCACACGTCACTATAAGGTATGTTGTCAGAATGTTGTCCTTGCATTAATCACCAAATTTAGCCAAATTAAAGAAAGGTGTTGCCACATCCCGAAACAAGGTATTTTCTCCTTCCACACACCAGTTTGTTACCATTCCTAACAGCGTAATATATTTCATTTTTCTTTTAAATTTAATCTGTTATTGACTAAAAGCAATAAACGCGGACTCTTTTTCAGTTAATTTTAGTTTCTACCTTGACACTTACACTTGTACTGCCTGAAATCATTACTATAATTAATATTATTCTTAATAATTTGAGATACGCATCTATCAAAATATATCAACGTCAATAATACGCGTCGCATAATTTTAAACGATATATCAACGTCGCAGAATTAAAAAAAAATAATTAAAAAAAGTCTTCCATTTCTCAAACTACGAAAACATCCCCATTTTGTAGCTGAAGGCAAGATAATAAACCACGATCTGTGCATTTAAGGGGACTCGTACACCTTAAAATTCATAAAATCTTCGAATATGTGACTGTTGCAAGAATTGGCATAACGTACTGATTTTAAAGGATATTACTTCCAACTTTTTACAGCTAGCTACATAATATAGCTGATTTCTGAAATAGTAATCAGAAATTTTGTGTTGCCAAAAATATTTTTATAATTTAATCCGCTTTGTGACAAACGTTTTCGTCAAGTTTCCACCTTGCGCGCACAGTTTAAAACATTCTGTCGCATAATTTAATTCCATATTTAATATATAGCTTTCATAACATTTAGAAACTACTGTGAACCTAAAATTCTAAGAATGTCATGTTAAATTTTTATTTTATCTGAAGTTGAGCTTAAAAAAATGTATTTTATTTAAAAAAATCTGTAATGTTTTCTTGCATAGTTTTTTTGAATACTAAAATATTCATAAAATTTTTGGTTCAATTAGAAAATAGTGCCTATCTACAGAATTCTATGCAATTTCAAGTACGTACCATTAGCCATTTTTAAAATATCATTCGCGCAAGGTGGAAACATGACGAAAATATTTTGTCGCAAAGCGGATTAAATTACAAAAATATTTGTGGCAACACAAACTATCTGGTTACTAGTTTCTAAAGCAGCTATATTATGTAGTAAGCTGTAAAAATTGGAATTGTTTTTAAAATAAATAAAATATCCCGATTCTTGCAATAGTCACATATTCGAAGATCATAAGGGGTTTAAGGTGTATGAGTCCCTTAATACAATTAAGCATTTCGCGGGCAACAATTAGTTAACCACATAATTGACAAAACTTTTAGCCAATAATACATTAATTAGTGGGCACGAACATACATGATATTTATCTAACAGGACATTTAGGCGGCATGATAATATTTAACAGACACGGACACATAGTCAACATGCCATTTAGTCGACACAGATATTTATCCAACACTTACATTTACCATCACACGGACATTTACCCAACATGACATTTGTGCGACAAGGATATTTATCTAATAGCAGACTTATCCGACAAGGTATTTAGCCGCATAGCCATTTAGCGGACATGCACGTACAGTCAGCATGGCATTTAGCCGTCACGGATATTTATCCGATAGCGCAAATAACCGACAGG